CCTATAAAACCCCACTCCTGAAAGGAGTCAGGCGCGACTTCCCTGGCCCCTCTCCCTGGGACCACAGAACCTCACCCAGGAGCTGAATAAATTGGCATCTAATTTTCTTGTGCTGGCCTCAGTTTCCTCATTTTTAACTCGGCAATAAACCTACAGAGAATAAACTTTACAGAAGCATTATCAGGCAACACTGAATTTAGTGAAAGCAAAGAAGCCACCACCAACCTAGGAATGGAGTGAGAAAAGCTTCAGAGCTCAGGGGGCAAGGTCACCATATGGGCTGGCATGGAAATGAGGCCATGGAGGTAGAGGCTAACCTGCAGGAACTAGAGCCACACAGATAATGTATCTAATGCAAATTGGGATGGGGTAGACATCCTGGATCTTATCCTTCCCCTGCTCTCCACACTTCCATTAGAGTCTTCTCTTAGCTAAACCCATCTGGAATCAGATGGCAACGGAGGCTGTAAAATGTAGTTCCCTGCAATACACAACCAGGTAAAGAAGGACAGAGAACGGATCTGAGAACAACTCAGATCTGTTAAGTGATGACAACTCACTCCTATCTGTGAATTCAGTAGAAATACTGTAATGGCTCTTAGCATAAGGACAGACTTGTTTGGTGTCACAGGCCTGTTCAATCCCTGCTCCGTTCTCTAACTCATCCAACTGCCTGTGTTTCTCCACTTTAGCTTGGTAGTGTTGACTTGAAAATGGCACACGCATTTTGTGTGTGAATGACTAAGCTGACTCTTTTCATGCAAAGGCACTGCTTCTTTCCAATGATAGCCATGTTCCACAAGCTCTGCAAGATGGCAACTTCATTTAGGACTATCAATCTATTGAGCTTTTTGGAATACAGATGTCCTCTTAAATCTGCTATGCCTAGAAGCTAATAATGGAATGTAAAAATAGCTTTCGCTGTCTGCACGGCTTTTCTTATTTGTATTCTAAGTAAAATCACTTAGGCAGACACAGAAAGCTCTTCTTATTTGCATTCATTTTGCCTACAGAAAATGTACAGTTCACATGACTGGTCTGCTTCAAAGAAATAATCAAAATACAAATTGCTTGAACTATAAAAACGGAAGCTTAGAAAACCTAGGATAAGGAAAAGAAATTAGGACACATTATAAACATAAAAGAAAGATGTTTTCTGCCATGGCTATCTTCAACTTACATCTCCGAAGCATAAGGAAAAGGGATTTTGAGAATTACTTGGTTTGCAGAAGCTTTATTCTTTGCAAAATTTTATTTTTGGCCACGTGAACTAGAAAAGATGCCAATGTCAAATCTCTGTTTTCATTTGGAGTACGTAACCAGAATCTAGAATATGATTGTTCCTGAATCAAAACTAAGCAATATTTGGTAATCATCTTTATTAACCCTCAAAAGAAAAGCCTTTGAATAAAGAATATGCAATTAACCAAATGAAAGGAGTATTATTTTTATTTAAAATCTGTCGTTGACTATAATATTAAGTGTTAGCCAAAATGTTTATATTTGGTTCATCGTCTCTTAGCTTTGATAAAGGTTTGTGTTTTAATGAAATATTATAACATTAAGTCTGGTGGGCATTTTTGGTGATAGAAAATACATTATTTTCGGTGGTGATATGGTTAATTGTTAATTAATCTTTCCAGAATTAGGGTAGATTTTATAAACTGCCCCCATTTTTAAGAACTTTAGTGCTATCAATGGGCAATTATTTTAACTTTCTGAATTGCTCATGTTTATATTTTATAATTAATGTTCAGTATATACAGTTAGTGTCAATTGATAAGTTATATAAGAAAGCTTTGTTGAGTATCTATGTGTGTGGGGGGGGGCGTATATATTTTATAAAGAACATTAGCACCCTCTTCTGGGTGACTTTTGATTCTGTAATGGGAATATTCTGAAAATCTTTTCCCATTTTCTACAATGAACAGTCTGAATATTCATTAAATTTGCTCCTGATTAAAGCACGACCTCTGAGTAATTTAATTACCCTGTATATTTCAGAAACACTGATAAGTGTTGGAGTCAAAAACACTTCATTGCTAAATGTTGCCTACTGGGAATAAGTGTTTGGCTTATGAAAAGGAAAAAAAAATGCGTTTTCTACATTTCTTATGATGAGTGTCTCCAAAGACTCTTAAATATACAGAGCTATGCAAGAAAGAAGGAACACAAGGACAGACAAGGAGAGCAGACTGGTACATTCTTCTCCCAGCTGTCTAGGCTTGAAGAAAAAATGTATCCCCTTGGATGCTTTAATATCAGGCACTGACATAATTAAATATTCTTTATTAAATTTCTTTCTAAAAATCAGATACCTTTTAAATCAAACTCCCTGGGGTCCCCCAAATACCCCTTTGATTGGCATTTTATGGGGCCAATGTTGGAGATGTGATTGTACTTATTTGATTTATTTACTCATTCATCCCCACATTCATTCTGGACATATTTCATGAGCACCTACTATGTAGCAGGCACTCTTCTGGTACTGGAGATGCAGTGAACAGATTCAAGTTTCTGACCTCAGGGAGATTTTATTTCCAGTGAGATGATAATAAATTCTACATAAAAACATGAGATAGCGAAGGAGATAAGAATCTCCTAATATGGAATAGATGCAGGGAGTATGTATTTTATACCAAGTGGTCAGAAAAATTCTCGTTGATAAGGAAACATTTGAGCAGAGACATGAAGTGAGAGTTTAAACCTTGCAGATATTTGGAGGAAGAGCATTCTAGGGGGAAGGAATAGCATGTGCAAATCCTTTGAAGCAGGGCTTTTTATTTGCTATAAATACTTCAAATGCTGTATGGGGCCTCAGGATCTCACAGTAGTTGAGAGCTTGCTTGAGCTTTGGAATTCAAAACTTGGATATGATTTTATATATTACCAATTCACAAATGATTGTAATCTCTGAGCCTTTATTTTATCACCTATGCAATATTGATTTATACAGTTTTCTTCCTCCCAGCATTACCATAAAGATTAAATGACATAGTATAGGCAAAAAGTTTAGCATATGAGCTTCATACCTGGGTGATAGGATGATCTGTGCAGCAAATCACCATGGCACACGTTTACCTATGTATCAAACCTGTACATCCTGCATATGTACCCCTGAACTTAAAAGAAAAATTGGGGGAAAAAAATGTTTAGCATAGTACATGACATTGTGCTGAGTTCAATAAATGTTAGCTATTTTAAGGGGAAAAATGCTTCTCTGGGAAACTTAAAATTTCTGCAACATTTAGATATAAAATAGATCATTAGTGTTAAACTGGATCTAAATTCAGTCTTCTAAATAGTATTTGAAAATTATTACATTAGAAGAAATTTTTTTTTCTGTGTGGTCTTGGACAACTTTCTTTTCCTCTATGAGCCTTAGGTTTTGCAAATTAGGAAATTAACTAAAATCAAGGATGTTCAATCTAAAGCCTCCAAGTGGGATGAGAGCTACTCTCCCTGTTTCAAAATCCCTGGGTGAAATTTTAGACTTACTTCTGGTAAGGATAAGAAGGAACTCAATCATCAGGTTTACTTAGGGCTGAATTATGAAGCATAGAGTTCAGTGATTAGGGGCTCCCTGCCTATGGAGTGTGCTGATCTGGGCAAGGTGCTATTTGGAAACGTCGCCCAGTATATGTATACCCGAGAGTGTTGCTTTCCCCAAATTGTTGGCTTGAGATTTTTTTTTTTTTTTGAGATGGAGTTTCACTCATGTTACCCAGGCTGGAGTGCAACGGCGCGATCTGAGCTCACCGCAACCTCCGCCTCCTGGGTTCAGGCAATTCTCCTGCCTCAGCCTCCTGAGTAGCTGGGATTACAGGCACGCACCACCATGCCCAGCTAATTTTTTGTATTTTCAGTAGAGACGGGGTTTCACCATGTTGACCAGGATGGTCTCAATCTCTTGACCTCATGATCCACCAGCCTCGGCCTTCCAAAGTGCTGGGATTACAGGCTTGAGCCACCACGCCCCGCTGGCTTGAGATATTTTTAAAGGGCTCTGTCATCCAGCTCTAACACTTGGATGACCACTGGTCTGTTTCCACTAGACTAATTCTCCTTCCAACCCTTCCTTCCCAAATCCCATTCCTCCCCTTTCTACCTCTTAAGGCAAAGGTATTTTCCATGCTTTCTCAACAAGTTAGCCTAAATACCATGAGGTGAAGGTCAGAACACTGTGAAGTGGACAGTTTCTGACCAAGATGGAACACCTGAAGAGAAAGGAGCCCATCTAGGGCCATTTTCATCATGCGGAGAATGTAGCCAAAAGATGGGGCAGAGAATCAGGAATCCAGTTGATGCCTCATATGGTCTCTTCCTTAATGTTTGAATTATTTAACACAAGCTGCCTCACCTACCTTACAATCTACGCAGGATTAAACAGAGCTGGTTAGAGCACTGACGGGATCCCTAACTGCCCAGGGGAAAGGTGATGTACACAGGGGCCTTGGCATTGAGAGCTATTAAGTAGCAGTTCCAGAAAAGTCTGTTCCAAGAAATGCCATAGCTTGTATTTAAAAATCCCTCCTTGTTCCTTGAAGAATTCATCAGACCCCCAGAACCTGTTAATGCTGATTCTGCAACGTACCAAATGCTGACTTTGGGCAAGTTTTTTTTAACATCTCTAAACATGAGGCTACATTTATAAAATAGGACTTGCAATAAATACCTGGCATTGTTGCCTCGCACATGGTATGGCTTCAGGACATGGTAGCAATTGTGATGAAGATAAGGGTGAAGCGTGATGGTTGTAAGGAACCTAGGTGTTACTCATATTTCAAGGTGCTTTCTAGCTGGAAGACAGTATGTTAATTTGGGTAAGATATCCATAAATATGAGTTACGAAATATAATAAATGGACACAGAGAAGGTTTAAAGAGTGAGAAATCAGATTTTTTAGATGTTACAGAATTGAGGTGTTGAAAAAATTAATTTACAGTTGGTAATCAGTTGTTCATTCTGAAGTTCATATGTGTGTTCTTTTAGTGTCTCTTTGTGAAGTTCTTACCAGGAGCACATCGACTGTTGTGGAAGCTGTTTGAGACAGTGACAACAAAGGATATGTGAAATAGATGTTCTGCAACATTTGAATTGAAACCAAAATCCATTGTCCTAATTAGTTATTGGACTCTTGGCATAATTACACATGCTCAAGGGATATTCCCTGATTATGTTAGCTGTCTCTCATGGCTGCTATCATGTGAGTATTGGAACAAATCCCATTTTGATGAGAATTAGCTCTGCATTTGCAGTGTGAAGATATGATAACATTGTCAAAGCATAATTATTAGTTCTGTGTTAGTGAATCAGTTTTTCATCCTCAGTTTTGTTATCCCTATATAATATTCAGTTGCTGTCAAATGAAGGAGAAACTGGGAAGTAGTTGCCTTAAATTCTATGTAATTGGCCTTCCTAATCAAAAGTAAATAAATATATTTATTTTTAAAACATATTATTTAATGCACTTTAAGATTATGTAACATAATCTAAAAAGGTTTTTTGCATATCAATAAGGAGTTCAGGGAATGTAAGATGCAAAAGGCCAGAACACCTGTGAGAATATGTTCAATCACTCGTATAACTAAAGACATGGAAAATCAGAAAACCAAGAGATCATATTTTCAGCTGTCAGAGTGAAAGAAGTTTAAATATGTGATAAACACTAGAAAATGAAGCTACAGAGTGACAGGCACATGTATACAAGATTGCAATAGTGTACTCTTTTTGAAAGGGAGATGTGGTGATATTCATCAATATTTTAAAAACACTTACCCTTTATCCCAGGAATTCCAATGCTCGGATTTTTATTGTCTATATTCTTACATAAATTCTTAAGCTATATGGGCAAGATGTTAACGGAGCTAAGCTATGAGGATGCAAATGCATAAGAATGATACAATGGACTTTGGGAATTTAGGGGGAAGAGTGGGAGGAGGGTGAGGGATAAAGACTGCAGTGCAACGTACACTGCTTGGGTGATGGGTACAACAAAATCTCACAAATCATCACTAAAGAACTTACTCATGTAACCAAATACCAACTGTATCCCAATAACTTTTGGGAAAAAAACAATTGCAACAAAAATGGAAACAACATGAGTGACTACCTATAAGGAATCATAAGTAGGACATATATACGTGTAATGAGGTAACATTTTGTAATGTCAGCTTTTATATATTTTACTTAAATTTTTTTTCAGCTGCTTCCAGGGATGAATGGCACAGTAGAACACAAATAACACATAAATAGAGAATGTTTGCCTTTTGAGTTCCAGAAGCCTAGTCTCTGACATCAACGAAATATTTGGAAGCTTGTGCAGTGAATAAGAGAAACTTACATACCTGCAACCATAGATAAAAATTCCCTGGCCCAGAAGGGTCAGAGGGAAGAATAGGGAGAAGTTGGTTAAGGGATACAAAATTACATCTAACTGGGAGGAATAAGTTCTAGGGTTCTATAGCATTTCAGGATAAATATGGTTAACCATAAATCACTGTATATTTTCAAAAAGTTAGAAGAGAGAATTTTGAATGTTCAGACCACAAAGGAATTGTAAATGTTTGAAATGGTAGATATGCTAATTGCTCTGGTATGACATGCATGTATCAAAACATCAGTCAGTATCCCACAAATACATACAATTATTATATGTCAACTAAAAATATGGGGGAAATAAATAAAATAAAAAGAAAATTAGCCAAGATCTCCATGCCTGGGCAATCATTCAGTCCTAACAGGACTGAAAAAGAGAAATGAGCATTTCTGAAGTGCCTGCTATATACCAGGCAGTTTTACCTATCAATATTTCATTAAGGGACTCCTCACACAACTTTTTGAGAGAGAGAGCTCTTACGAGTCCTGGTTTTAATGATGTCTGAGAACAAGTCCAAGTTGACATTGTCAAGATGTGGTTAGTATGTACCATGAGTGGAATCCAAATTTTGACGTATTTTACACAAAAGACCATTTTCTTTAATTCAGGAAAATTCTACAAGCTAGATATGATTTTAGCTTAATTTTAAAGATGAGGAAAATGAGTCTCACAGAGCCTAAGATTGCACAGTGAGAACGTGACAGAGCCAGAATTACAACTTAGACTGCCGGTAGAGTTCATGTTAACCGTGATGTCAACCTGCCTACTCTGACTTTTGGTTCAAGATGTTGTGCTGAGCATGTGTTTAAGCTTCTAATCTTTCTGACAGACCCATTAAATTAATGTTACTCATTATAAGTATTTTTTTTTGCTGTTTTCTTTTTAGCTGTGGAAACTAATATTTTGATAAAGACTTAAAAATAAATAGAAGCATAACACTTAAAATTACAATAGAAACCACCAAAAGAACAAAAATAAGAAGCTGTTAAAAATTGTAGTCCCTGGGAAGTGGCACAGAAAGGTAAAATTTACTTTTCATTTTACATAGTTTGAACTTTTTGTTACTTTGTACATTTTCTGTATCTATATTGTTTCATTCAGAGAAAAAAATTAAAGGGAGAAAAAAAACAAGGAAATTGAAGGACAAAAGAAGAAATAAATATGCATGAAATTCTACACAATAAAATAGTAATCAGCTGCCCAAAAGATGGCGACAGATTTATTGCCCTGCCATGAAAGTCTCTAAGACATATTGCTAAATTAGGAAAATAATTCTGATATAAAAAATAATAATAATCCCTGGGTTGGGAGAAGAGGACTTAGAAGAAAAACATGTGTGTGTCCCAGGAAGGAGCCTTCTATGTAAGAATGAATTCAGGGGTTTGGGAGTGGGAGGTAACGAAGTCTGAGAGAAAAGAAAACTTGCCAAGTCTGAGAAAAAAAGAAAACTTGCTTCTTGTTAGATGCCTGGAAAGTGACAAGATCCACAATTTTGGCAGTATCCTGACATAATGCTGAAAGAATGGAGTAGGAAGAGCTGTGTGGTGTAACTGAAAGATGGATCTGAGAGAGCTTGCAAGATTTCCCTCAAATCCAGCATGGCAAAGTAATTCCCTGTGTCTGAGAGCAATGTAGACATAACAAAGAGATCCACGGCTTCTGAAAGGACTAAAATGTGATCCAGGGATGATCAGCAAAGATCTAATGTGGATCAGTGACTGAGGACCAGATGGGACAATATACAGTTCTGCATCTGTCTGCGTGGAAAAACAACCACCAAGGGGAAGATGCCATACCCACACCCTATAACCTCTGTTCTATCTAAACCCCAGGTAACTCAGACAAATGCAGTGCCGGAAAACCCCGAACTCATGCAGATCACAATTTGACTACTCAGGAGAATGGAGTCCCGAGATAAAATTAGGTTTACCATGAAGTGTTACGTATCTATTAAATTGATAGAGACTATCTCATTTCACTAACTCAAGTATGGAAGGCATTTAATCGCCTTTATTTTTCTTTTACCCAACCTAATTTTACCTCAGGATTCTGTTATCCTGAGTAGTCAAATCTTGATCTGTGTGAGTTCAGGTAGGGGGTACCCTGGAGTATTATGTATCTATTAAAAATACAATTTGAATAATGTATATTCTATTTGCAGAAAAATGCTACGTTCTAAATGTTGCAAGGGTATGAATGACACAATTAACTGAATTTCTCTAGAGACTGTGACATTCCATTTTATATTATTTTATAAAGATTTCTTATAAACTAAAATCATGTGTTCCTTTTATAATACATAACAAAATATCATTTTTGTCTTTACATCATGTTTGATGATCTAATACATTGAATTTGAATTCCATTTATGAAGCATTTATTTCTATAATTTCAGAATAAGAGATGAAAAACATTGTGTCTTAAATACTTTTTTGGCTATAGTATAAATCTGCCAAAGCGAATTAATTTTTTTTTTTTTTTTTTTTTTTTTTTTTTTTTTTTTTTTTTTTTTTTTTTTTTTTTTTTTTTTTTTTAGTTATAAAGAGTGTTACACTGTGACTTTAAGGAAAACTTTCCTTCATCATTCTTGTAAAAGTGGACATGCAGCTTTTTCCACCACAAAGCTACGGAAAACATTTCTAAACATGTGCTGATAACAGAACAAGTAGGTATGATTTGAAGAGCTACACAAAATCATGCATTTTCATACTCCCAGCATATAGTCATACATGCAGTTAATGGACACTGAGCAAATCGCCAGAACTTATGTATGCAGATAAGAATGGTTCCATTCAGGCTGAGCATGGTGGCTCATGCCAATAATCTTAGCACTCAGGGAGACTAAGACAGGTGGATCACCTGAGGTCAGGAGTTCGAGACCAGCCTGGCCAACATGGTGAAACCCTGTCTCTACTAAAAATACAAAAATTAGCCAGGCATGGTAGTACATGCCTGTAGTCCCAACTATCTGGGAGGCTGAGGTAGGAAGATCGCTTGAACCTGGGAGGTGGAGGTTGAGATCCTGCAACTGCACTCCAGCCTACACAACAGAGTGAAACTCTAACAAAAAAAAAAAAAAAAAAAAAAGAGAGAGAATGGTTCCATTAAAACTCATATTATAGTTACTCTAAACCACTGAAAGTATTTGGCCAGTCCATTTATAGAACTGTTTTTAGAGTTTATGGCACATACATGATTATTCTCCAAGCTCTGAAGGAAACAATGTCATATCTTCCAGAAGAAACTCTTGAATTGTTTAAACAACAGTAGCATCATTTGGACAACTGCATTGCCTTCTTAAAAGACTACCTTAAAATAATAATTTTGAGAAATAAATCCTAGTCTCTCTGTTAAAAACAAGCCTAACTGACTTATAGCAGCAATCTATATATTGTATTTGTTTTAAAATATTGATCTACAAGATTTTTAAATCTGTCAATACTTTTGACCAGCATTTTAAAAACTGTAGGTCAAGATATACTAGCGGGTCATGAGATCAATTTAGTAGTTGCAACCAACATTAAAAAATTAGAAGAGAAGGCCAGGTACAGCAGCTCATGCCTGTAATCCTAACACTTTGGGAGGCCGAGGTGGGTGGATCACAAGATCAGGAGATCGAGACCATTCTGGCTAACACAGTGAAACCCCGTCTCTATGAAAAATACAAAAAATTAGCTGGGCATGGTAGTGTGCGCCTATAGTCCCAGCTACTTGGGAGGCTAAGGCAGGAGAATCGCCAGAACCCAGGAGACAGAGGTTATAGTGAGCTGAGATTGCACCACTGCACTCCAGCCTGGGTGACAGAGAGAGAATTCATCTCAGAAAAAAAAATTTAGAAGAGAAAATAACAGTGTATCATAAGTTGCTGCACTATTATTTTATCAAGCTTTTGTTTCAGTTAAATATTTTTAGTCATGCATTATGTATTCAAATAAAATTTATTGAGCACTGAGTATGTGCTAGACCAGGGTTTTAGACAAGGGTCTTGCCATTGTTGGAATTTCAAGCCAGATAATTTTTTATTGTATATATGTTTGGTAAGAAGGATGTCTGTTGTATGCATTATAGGATGTTTAGCAGCATCCTTGGTATTATGGGCTGAATTGTGTTCCTCCAAAATTTATATGTTGGAGTCCTAATCTCTAGTACCTTGGAATGTATTTGGAGATAGAGTCTTTAAAGAGGTAATCAAGTTATATATGATTTACATATGATTAAGTTATAATGAAGTCATTAGGGGAGGCCCTAATCCAATATAAATGGTCTCCTTATACAACGGTCTCCTAATGACTTATCTTTAAGTCATTAGGATACAGACAGAAATCGAGGGAAAATCATGTGAAGACACAGGGAGAAGATGGCCATCCACATGCCAAGGAAAGAGGCCTCAAAGAAAAACCTGCCTTTAGACACCTTGATCTTGGACTTGCAGTCTCCAGAACAATGAGAAAATACATTCCTGTTCAAGCTTTCCAGTTCATGGTACTTGTTATGGCAGCCCTAGTTGGTTTTTACCCACTGGGTGACAGTAGCACACTTTCCCCTGTCGTGACAAAAAAACATCTCTCCAGACATTGCCAAAAATTCTCTAGGCAGGGGCAAATAACCTCCAGTTTGAGAATCATTGCCTAGACATATCTGGTTGTACTGCTAATAATATTAAAGTGAATTTCTCATCGTATATTGCTGTCAGAAAACTCGAAAATCTCCACCTTTGAACCCTGCCATAGCACTCTGGTATATAACGACTGGGTGGCAAATCGACTAAGAAACTGATGATCCTTTAGCCTGAATAGCCTAGAGAGACAGAATCCCTGAGCCTGCTACATTTGGCTTTGAACCAAGGTACTACACAAATACAAATTTTGTGTACTGTGATATAAAAAGGACTGGGTAATACTGATTTATGATGTTCCCTTTCACTTTTTAGATGGGCCAACTGTGAATCACCTTAGTTAAATAATCAATTGCTATCATTCATTGCATTAGTGGTAGAGGTGGGATTAAGAACTCATGACTTCTATTCCCGGTTCAGGGATTTACCATTACAGCGTTACTTTTTAAAGAGCTGTTTCTTGAGGGGAAAAAAAAGTCATTTTACAAGGATGGTGCCTCAACCTAAGCTTTCTAGAATGCAAAGCCTGAGGCAAAATTTATATGCCAGTGCTGAATTGATGTATACAATTTGAGGACTGGAACAGTAGGAAAAGGGAAGTGAGGAAGAAACAGGTGGGAACGCAAATACAAAATGGCACATGATCACGCTGGCCACAGCTTGCCAGAAAGCACAGTTTGTTGCCTGGTCATGCAAGACTTTTCTTGAGAGACAAAATCATTGCTCTTAGGCCCAGTGTGTTTGCCAGTGGTAGAGAGGGGAACCACGAGGTGGTTTCTTCCTTTGTCTTTTCCCCTGGACAAATTTTGCTCCATAGGGCATTAACTCCCCTGTATTTCTAGATTGTGGTACTGAATCCTTCCAGGACACTGATGGCAAAAATAGATCCTGCTTCCCACAGGGCAGGTTGTTACCTGGACCCTAAAGTGGTAGAAATGTGAGTCCAACCAGGTGGACTGAGTGCTGTGGTCCTCCCTGCGGCAAACATGATGGAGACCATGCCAAAGCCCAACCCTAGTCCCACAGAAGACAGATGCAGCCGCCCATGTATGGAGACAGTGGCCAAGCAGCCAAGGCCCAGAGCCATGTAGGTAGGTACATCCAGGGAAGCATAGAGACAAGGTCCACTACAAATGGTGTAGATTGCCTAGCTGAGATAGAGACCACCATAACTCCAATGGTAACACTAATGTTGGGCTCACAGTCAGATCTGACCCAAGGCAGGTTTGTCTGCAATATACCTTCTCATTTCTCTGGGCCTCCATTTGTTTATTTGGATACTAATAACATTGGATAAGAGAAGAGATTGAAAAGCCAAATGCTTACAGTGGCCATACAGTAAATACAAATTGAATTACTGGCTACTTCTGAATGTGTGAGGCTGGAGATGGAGTAGACTT